AAAAAAAAAATGTTCTAAGTTGTTCCTTAGGGAGCTGGTTTTTAAACCCATGTTGCAAATATGGTATTGTACTTTGGGAAGACCCTGGTCTTTGGTGTCTGAATTCGCAAACATTTCTGGCTCTACCATATGAACGGTAGCTTGGTTTCCTCTATTTGTAGGAGAATAAGCTAGTGCTAACTCCTTAAGAAGTTGGTGTCTTGGGTGGTACAGACTTAACACCTTTGGCTGCTATCAAAAAAGGTTGGAGATTTGTGTCCACTCAGAGGGCCCTCAGAAGAAAGGTCTATTTTTGAAAAAAACAAGATCTATTTCTGAAGTTAGCAGATGAAAGCCGGAGGTGCACATCTCTGCCTTGGCCCTACAGCTGGTTCCACTGCTGTAAAAGGGGCCTTGAGGCCTTGGAGTTGGCCTTTGCACTTGCTACTCCTTTTCTGGAATCCTTCCAAGAACTTTTTGAATCAGCCCTTCTTCTACTTTTTCTGCCCCACTCCCCATCCCCTTATTTTTCCCAAAGCATTACTGGAAACCTTACCACTTACCTGCTTGTCTAATTTATCCTCTTCACAAGAGATTTCATTTCACACATCTACCCTCCAGAGCTAAAACAGTGTAGCAGGTACTCAATAAAGTGGCTTCTTTGTAAATATTGTTAGTTGACTTAATGAAGTGAAATCAGAAAAATGGTAAAGGTGGAAAATGGTTAAGGCTCTTCACAGGAACCCTGGTGGTGTAGTGGATTATGCATTGGACTGTAAGTCACAAGGTCGGTAGTTTAAAACCACTAAGTTACTCCATAGGAGAAAGATGAGGCTTTCTACTCCCATAAAACCTGACAGTCTTAGAAACCCCCGGGAGAAGTTCCTATGAGTTGGAATCAATGGCTTGGTAGAGGAGAGAGGAAAGGAAAGAGAATTCTTTTTCTGGAACTTTTATCTCCCATCCCCTCCACCCCCAGGTGTCCTCTAGGGTCTCTCCTTCACCTTCAAGTGACTATTCAAATTTCACCTCAGTGCACTAACTCCCTCATAGGGTTCCCAAAGCTGTACATCTTTGTAGAAGCAGACTGCCTCATCTTTCTCCCCTGTGGTGGGTGAATCTACTGACCTTTCCATTAGTATTTAATTACCGCACCATTAGGTCTCTCAGGCCATGCTGAAAACCAAAGAATCATACTCACTTGCCATCGAGTTGATGCCAACTCATAGCACCCCTATGGGGCAGGGTAGACCTGTCCCTGTGAGTTTCGTCTTCCTCCCATTGAGTGGCTGGTGGTTTTGAAATGCTGATCTTGTCATTATCAGCCCGACACAACCACTACACCACTAGGGCTCCTTAGGTCTAGCTGGAGAGAGCTTAAATTCCTCTCCTGCTACAACCAAAGAAGCCTTAGGTGGCCCAGTGGGTTACACTTTGCGTTGCTAACTAAACTAAAAAGTTAGCAGTTTGAAACCACCAGTAGCTCTGCTGGAGAAAGATGAGGAATTCTATTCCTGTAAAGGTTTAGAATTTCAGAAACGCACCGTGGGCAGTTCTACTAAGTTTCTATAGGGTCTCTATGAGTTCAAATCGACTGAATAGCGGTGAGTTTGCTAAAACCCATGACAGGAGCAGTTCCCACTTGGATTAACAAGCTTCCTTACAGCTGTGGATTTTTCTATTTGCAACCATTTTTCTCCACACTACTATTTTTTCCTCTGATTGTAAAAATAAAATAAAAATGTAAAATGGTAGAAAATCAGGAAAAATATAAAAAAATTTCTTAAATCACTGTGTTAATTTAATCTCAACTTGATAAATAAGAATAGGGGTGGCATATAGCCTATCAGGTCACAGCTTGATGATATCTCCTTGTGGGCATGGACTTCTCATGAAGATTCTGGGAACTTCCTCTCTTTTTCTCCAGAGGTGGGCCACACTCTCTGCTTCACTTACTTTCCTTGAGACAATCTGAGAGCTGGAGGAGCCACGTGAAGACCAGTGCCAGCGCTGAGATGCTTCCACTGCCATTGGAGCCACAAAACTTTTCACCCATCAGCCTGTAGTCTTCCTGTATTTGGCATCATTGCATGTGCTGTGTGAATCTGAAGAGGAATTTCTAGACTATTATCGGACAGATGGGCTGATATCGGACTATGGACTTCATCTGGACTGGGCTGAAATGTTTTCTCAATAAACAACTGCTCTTTGATATAAAGTTCTTTCTTACACACATCTTGGATTTGCTTCTCTAGTAATCCAGTCTAACAATCAGCATACTCTCACCACCAAAGAAAATCATGAACAACTCCAGTCCACCATATTATCGTGCAGTTTTAAAATATACAAATAGAAATTTTGGGAATGTTACTACATGTAGTTTTACAGTATGCCATAAACATTAAAAAAAATTGTTGGGACTTTGAAGGGCAGAATATTAATTTAACAATTTCCTTTTTTTTTAACCAGTGCAAGAAACAAGTTGCTTATTTCATTGAAATTTCAAATACTGTAACAGAATTATATACTGTATTAACTTAAATTTTCTAAAATTAAAATTTGGATCCATATTGTTTCTTGATTCAAGTACCTGTGATAAACCTTGCTCTAAATGTATCACTTATTAAATTTACTATTTTCTTTTTTTTTAATCATTTATTGGGGGCTCATGCAACTCTGATCACAATCCATGCATACATCCATTGGGTCAAGCACATTTGTACAATTGTTGTCATCATCACTCTCAAAACATTTTGCTTTCTACCCTAATTTAACAACTTCTATATGTACAATTCAGTGATGCAGTGAATTATGTTTTTTCAAAATTCACATTTTACTTAGATTGAAATAAACTGTACAATTGATTTTCTTCACCAAAATACCAGTAATAGTTCCTGTATTATTTCTAAATAAACTAATCTTTTTTTAAAATTCCAACATTACATACCAAACATTTAAAAAGAGCTGCACGATCTTTCTCTTGAAGTTGTACCTCATCGTATTTAACCATTTTCATTTGTAGTTTCCCATTTTTTTCAAATAAACCATCATGTACATATATGTGTCTTTTATTACTAAAATTACCTCAAAATTACTGGGGCAAATAGAGTAAACTTTTACTTTTTATTTTTCCAACTACAGAAAAGTAAAGGCTTCGCGATCGACTTATAGGCAGGCCATAGAACATCTAGGTCGACTTGAAACTAATTATCCCCCAAACTCCTTTCAGGTAATACATCAACTTTGGAATGCTTGGTAATTGCCCTTTGCAATCTGCATCCACGCCTGCGCACAATCGCCCAAATGCAGCCCTCCGTCCCAGAAAGCAAAAGTCAAGACACGCCTCCGAAGGACCATCCCTCTTTAAATTTTAAAACGAAGGCTCCGGCCAATGAATGCTAAGGTCCTCCCGAACACAGCGCCCCGCCCACAGTCACGCTGTCTACCAATCAAGTGAAGCTTTCTCCACAGCCTACCCAATCAGAGCCTAGAATGGAAGCTGCCCAAGTAGTTTACGTGGGGGAAGTAGCCAATCGGAGCTGGTCGACGGGGCTAAACCCGCCAATGGCAGCGGCTCTTGGCGAGCGCGGGAGGCTTTCTACCTGGAGCTCCGGAGGGAGTGACTGAGACGCTGGTTGCCTGAGGCCGGGGGTCTGGGCGAGCGCGGCGCGAGCGCGACCGGAGCCCCGGCTCGGCGGCGCGGTCGGAATGGCCGGCAGTCACAAGGTGATGATTCTGCTGGACACCGCGGGCGGCGCCGCGCGCCAGAGCCCCGCTCGGCGGGCTGCCCTGCGTCTCCTCACCTATCTGAGTTGCCGCTTCGGCCTAGCACGGGTCCACTGGGCCTTCAAGTTCTTCGACTCGCTGGGGGCGCGGATCCGGCCCTCCCGCGTGTCCGACTTTCGCGAGTTGGGGGCGCGCTCGTGGGACGACTTTGAGGAGGAGCTGGAGGCCCGCCTCGAGGACCTGGCCCACGGCGCCCACCTGCCGGGCCCGGCGCCCAGGGCCACCCATACCCACAGCGCTCTGATGGAGACGCTGCTGGACTACCAGTGGGACCGGCCCGAGATCACGTCGCCTACCAAGCCGTTCCTGCGGAGCCGCGGGCGGAGGCTGCTGGGCGAGGAGAGCGAGGCCCAGGAGGCCGAGGGCGCGCTCGGCGGCCTGGCGAACGCGGTCTTCCTGCTGGCCCCGTGTCCGCGCTCGCGCCGCGAGCTGCTGCAGTTCCTGTTGGGGTGCCAGGCCCAGGCCCAGAGCCCTCCCCCTACCCCCAAGCAGGTGATGGAGAAGTTGTTGTCCAGGATTGTCCAGGAAGCCATGATCGCCCGGAAGATCACCTTGTACTGGGTCGATACCACCGAATGGGCCGAGGTAAGATGAGGAAGGCGCAGGTGTGATGCCGGGCATTTCCCTGCTTTCACTTCATTAAGGCCACAAATGACCAGTTAACGAGGAAGCCACTGTGACTACCTGCTGCGTTTTGACTGCTCGGGGTAGATGCAGCAAATGAAACCCCTTCTCTTGTGAAGTTTACCTTCTGGTGCAGAGGTTCTCAGCCTGTGGGTCACGACCCCTTTGGGGGTCGAAGGACCCTTTCACAGGGGTCGCCAGATTCATCACAGCAGCAAAATTACAGTTATGAAGTAGCAACGTAAATCATTTTATGGTTGGGGGTCACCACCACATGAGGAGGAACTGTATTAAAAGGGTCGTGGCATCAGGAAGCTTGAGGACCACTGTTGTAGTGGCTTAGACGAGCATCTAAGTGATAAGATTTCAGATAATGCTTTGGGCACTGGGGAGTGGGACAGGGCAAGTAGAAATATGAGAGCTCCAAAAAGCTTTGGGGGGGGAAATACTTTCTTGGGTTTTTCTACTTTTTATGGTTAGGTGAAAGTTTGTTTTCTACTCAGCATTTCATACACGTTTTGTTTCATCTTATTGACTGCAGGCCCCACAATATATCATCTCTTATTCCACTTCCTCCCTGTTTCTGTCTCCATTCCTCCCTCGTGACTAACCCTTGTGAATTTTACTCCATTTGAACTCTATTTCCCATGAATGTTTTGAGCAGAGAATTGAATGATGAAGGAGGCTTGTGAAAGTTGGGCAAAATCAGGCAAAGAAAAGAGCAGGTGTAAAGGTTTTAGCTGGGAATGAGTTCATTTGGGTCCTGGAACAAAAAGGCAAGGCATGCTGAGACCTAGTAGACCATGGGAAAGGGAGGAAAAAAGTAGAAAGGGCCAACCTGTAGGGCTAATTTGTATGCGAAGGAGCCCTGGTGGCTTAGTGGTGACTCACTGGGCTGTGATCCACAAGGTCAGCAGTTGAAACCATCAACCACACCGTGGGAAAAAGCCAGGCTTTCTACTGCCTTAAGAATTGCCAACTCTGAAACTCAGATGGGCAGTTCTACCCAGTCCCTGTAGAGTGACTAGGAGCCAGAATTAGTTTGATGGCGGGTGAGTAAGAATGTTGTCTGAGGAGGTTTTGTTGTAGTTGTGATGGAAAGCCTTTGGAAGGTTAAACCAAATAAAATGTTATCCCTCTTTCTGTAAATACAGGTCACTGAACCAGAAGTGGGTTAAATTGCAGGGTTTCAGGTGGAAAATAATTTCACGAAGAGTAAATAATTGTATGGTATGTTGTTTCCAGTGTGTTTTGTCATACAAAGTCCAAGAACAAGGTGTGGCAAATGCCAAGTAAGGAGCAGTGGCTTGTTAGAGGAGAGGAAAGGACAAAAAAATGTTCAAATAAGCATTTGATAAAGGTGCCCTCTGGCATAGTGGTCTGCTAACCACTAGCAGCTCTGTGAGAGAAAGCTGAGGGTGTCTGCTCCTGGAAAGATTTACAGCCTTAAACGCACAGGGGCAGTTCTATTCTGTCCTGGAGAATTGCTGTGAGTCAGAGTTGACTCACTGGCAGCGAGTTTGGTTTGAGTTTTTGGAAA